TTGTGCATAATAGTGTTGATTGAAATGAGATTTCTCAAATGATTGAAGGGAATTACAAGACTTATGGTATTCCTCTTGTGTTTTGGTTGACATGTCTTTCAGGTATGCTTTTTTCTTATTACATTTTTCTTTCACTTCTGTACAAAACCATAAAGTTCTTCGCCTTGAGAATGATTTATTTGTATTTATCTTTTTTTCATCAAGAACTTCTTTGGCTGAGATGCTAAGATATTAGACTTAATTTTTACTCACCTTTTTTCGTTATTCTTTTTTGAAATAGGTAGCTTCTGGAGTAATCACGTAAGGTTTCGACTTTTATCTTTGTGGTTTTGTTATCACATATATGTGTTTTCATTCGGATTTTGCACAATCCCAATTAAAAAATAATAAATAAATTAATAAAATATCTGAGCCGTTTAGACGTTACAAGCTTAGTGTCCTTTTGACAATACCGTCATCTTGTTTTTATGTTACATTCGTACTCCTCCCTTTCGACGATACTACACGTCACGATCTGACAATAACAACGGAGATACGATATAGTGCCGTTTTGGCAATGTCTTTGCGTTTGATTTTTATCTAACATATTCTTTACCACCTCCCCTTTTCATCGATACCTCACACGTCACGATCCGATATGCCGTCGTGCCTCCACGTTTTGCGCTCGTTCTCTTGTTGCCCCTTTACTACTGGAATACATAAGAAAATTAAAATACAAAACAAAATGGAAACAACATATACAAAAAGGAAAAAGTGTAGGAAGGTCCTTGATAGATGGAGCTACGTTTAATGTTGAATGAATAATCCCTGGAATGAAGAAAATCAATTTACTCGCAAGTTTTCCTTATCAAAGTGTTAGTAAACCCACGTGCTTTCAACACTTTGGAACAAAGGCCTGATACAAGCATTCCTAAATAATATATTGACTGGAAAATATAATGCTCAACGGGAATGTAGTCGAACCTATTATTTCCAAAAAAAATTAAGCCTAACTAAACTTAGCAGTTAGTTTAGCAGAAAGTTAGTTTTTACAAAGAATGGAAATGCGATAAATATGATATTTTAGTTTATTTGTTCCACGTTTTATATGTGCATATTCGTAGTGTGTTCTATTTCTTGCTTTCTTGGTAGTGGTTTCTTCACTATTATCTTTTCTTCATGTTTGATTAAACGAAATATATGACGGCTCAAGCTTTCTCTGATAATGTGCACTTCTTTATCCTCATCCTTCGACCAATACATATCAACTTGAAGCAGAGTGTGAACCAGATAATATACATATGCCAATAAATTTTTTAAATATATGTCATTCATTTCAAAATCTTGGTGGTTATTTTGCAATGCACAAATATTTGTAAAATATAGAATGCTCTTAATTACTTGTTTATCAAAAAAAGTGAAAAAACTTCAATATAAAGTTGACTCCATGGTTTGCTTTTATATTGTCTAAATATCAATCAAACTGATGTTAAATTTGGATTTACTATTTTTGCCTGGTTTTTTCTTTGGACGTTTTATCTGCGGTTCAGAGGAATATCCGAATATCATAATCAGAATCGTAAAACTTCCCAATCACTTGTATTTCATATGTACCTGCAATATCCGATTTTATTCCTTCTTCACAAATAATATTATCATTAATGTCTTCTACATCGGAAACTTCATCTGATTCCGACGGCAAATAAACCACATTAAGTAAATCAGCATTTTCACAATCTGTCTTCTTCTAACAAAGCTATTAACTCTTTAGTAGTTAGTGCCATCTTCCTTTCATATTTCGAGAATTTACTGAAAAATGCACTACTTACTATATACACGCATTTATATGATAATAGTTTAGCTTACTTTATTTTAATTTATATGGAATATAAAACAAATAAACACAAGGAAACTTTCAAATCAAGTTGAAAAAAAAAACAAATATTAACATAACAATGTGTAATGTGTATATTATAGTCAAAGAGCAGAAAATCTGATTTTGGAAAAACAAGCAAAACGTTATATTTCTTTGTTTTTTAAATGGTTAAAAGTGAAACGCAAAAAAATTATCACTCTACCACCCTGTCGGAAAAAATACTAGCTGATACAACGGCATCTACTATAGGGCTTTTTAACGCTTCCTATTTGTTTCAGGCACTTGTTATGGGTCATACAATTTTAAGATATCTATGTCATACGTCTTTTGTATGTACAGTTATTGGTATATACTATATACCAATAACGTATGATGTAGATATATTAAAATTATACGACATATCATAAGTGTCTGAAATATATGAGAACCGTTGAAAATCCCCATTAGCGTTTAACGATGACGTACATAGACGAAACTGTGGAAAAGTATTTTACATTTAAGAAAATATTGTTTTAAACAAAGTTAGCAATTTATAATGAAAAACCGAGTTGTTTTAACTGAAATAATCATCATGTTAGCGTACCTTTTCTAAAATATTTCTCCTGCAGGCGAGCTCTCATCATCGTCACTATCCACCAGATTAATAATAAGTTGTCCACTGTTTGAAAATAATTGTCCTAGTCTTCTGTACTCATTTTCTACTTTCACTACACGGTTTACTGCTTTTTTCCAGTCGGCACTTGTAATCTCTGATAGTTCATGTCGAATTAAATCGACCACTTTCGCGTCAAATTTTGGAAAACTATTCTTCCTCCGAATCCGTTTTTTTATTTGTCCCCAAATAAGTTCGATAGGATTGAATATACAAAAATAAGGTGGTAACCTCAAAACATTATGGCCATGTTGTATTGCAATAGTGTCCAGTATATATTGTTTCTTATAAGTTTTAGTACGAAGTACTTCAAGTAACTGTTTCTTATTATAGTTGTCTTCAAAATACAAATCATTTTCTGTGAGGAAATCTTTTAGTTCCTGTTTTGAAGATGAACTGTTGGGAATTTTTTTGAGAAGCCTTGAGTGGTAACTAGCATTGTCCATAACTATCACACTGCCCGGTGTTATATTGGGAAGTAATGTATTTTTAAACCACTCTTCGAATATAGTAGAATTCATATTCTGATGATAATCTACACTACATTTTTCTATTTTTTTTCCACAAAGCATTAACCCATTTGGCACCCAACCATTTGAAGATCCACAGTGCACAATAATCATCCGAGAACCTTTATTCGGAGGTACTCCTTTTAACTGGCACCGAAGTGAACCATCAGTCCAACCCTTACTAGCGGTATCATGCGTGTCATACCATGTCTCGTCTAAATAATATATAGTCCGCTGTTGGTCTCGATATTCTTGAATTTTTTTTAAATAATCTAAACGCCAGTGTACTATCCTCTTACTTTCCATAATAGCCACCCGTTTATCAACGATTTTGTATTTGAACCCAAGTTTTTTCAGCCTCCTACGTAAAGTGGTTTTAGGGCAGCTCCTTCCCATCGCAACAAGCTTGGTGTATATAATATCAATTGTTGGTATTACATTTTTTTTGTATTCCTCGTAAACCAAATTCCTTAAACATTTAGCAGTCACGATATTAATTTGTTTAGGTTTTCCAGCATCCGATCTTCTTTTTCTCTTTTTAACACCACTTTTCACGATGTCGCGCATAGTAGAATACGGAATTCCGGTTAGAAAGGCTGCTTTTCTTATAATACTGCCTTTACAACTATTTTCAGGATCATTTTGAAGATTTTTGTAAACGTTCATACAAATGCTCTTAGATTGTTCATTCAAAACAATTCTTTTCTTTGGAAGTCTTAAACACTTTTCTACAGTTACAGTCTCAGTGTCATTGTTTTTTGTATCACTTACACTTAAAAGATTGTTGACTACTATACTTTCTCTACTACTACTTGGGTTCTCTTGCTCCCATGCACGAAAAACTGTAGGCGATTTTTCCCATGGTCTAAACATTTTCTTTATAAACAAATAAACAGTTTCAAAAAAACAAACAACAAAAAATACTAAAATTATTATATCTAATCACAATGAAATTTCAACACAACTTAAAATTAAAGCAATGCACAATGCACATCTATAAAAAGCTAGTTGTGAAGATACAACTAAACTAAAAATTTACAAGTCCTGTCCCTTAGATAAGGCACATGCCGGTATTTTTACAACAGGATTGCAACGTCGTAAATCAATCCGTTTAAAACTTGAAAATTGATACTTGGGCATTAGTACAGTTAAAATTGTTAGACGGTTATATTTATACGAAATATTAAGCAATATAATTGAAACTTTTTTCTACTTTTAAGGATAAAAAAGCAAGTTCATTAGCGGAAGGTAATTCAAAATTATACTGCACATTATATTTGAAGCATTATTTGGTCAAAACATCTCATTTTTGGTAGTCAAAAAAAATATTAAATGACCCTTTACAGCACACAGTAATTCTATAAATAGAGAATGAAGTAGTGTAAAAACGAGATCGTCCATTAAAATTTCAGATTGTTTAATACAATGAAAAAATAAGTATTTTGCAAAGATTTCTGTTTTTTGAAGTACTGTATTAGGTTCTCTATCATAACAATAAATTTTTATTGTGTTTAAATAAATAATTAAAATATTATTTTGATACGCCCCTGCAACGTTGATAAGTTTAATATGATTTCGTCTCTTTAAGCGCGATGTTGCCAAGTAATCACTTTCAATTAAAACTTGTTTTAGTATAGCTCTTGCCTGTGTTAGCTGTTTTATCTTTTGAATATTTATTTCTAGACCGGTCTTTTTTGCCGCTGTTTTTCTTATACATATAAATAGACTAAAAATTAAGGAAAATATTTGTGCATGTGTGAGACAGAGAGAGTTTGTAAAATTTGTTAAATTATGTAGTTTTTTTTTAAGTAATATTCTTGTTTTTGTTATAAAAAGACATTGGCAATAGACTTCTCCTCAATCCCACGCATCTTCCTTTGTATAACCATGTATTAAAATTAGCAGCTTTATGTGAATGTTTGTAGCTGTAGCTGTATCTTTATATTTTTGTTGCGAAAATAACCGTTTTTCTCTATTTTTTCAGATGCTGTCAGTGGTAAGTGCCGCCGGCGTCAATGCGGCGGCAGGAATGGGTGGCATGGACCGTCTGGGAGGTGGTACTAATAGTAGTAGCGGCAGTGTAGTGAGTAATGGTAAGACTGCGTCGTCAGTATCGTCGTCTAGAGACCATCGAACGCAGGTGCGTAGGTTGCACGCCACGACGAACGGCGTCGACCATTCGACGACGGCAGATATCACCATCAATTTGCCACCTAGTATAGAAATGCCTGACGGCGAAGAACATCCGTTTACATCGGCTAGGTTACACATTCGAGATCCAGAACAAGTAAGTTTCTTTTACCTAAATAATTGTCTTGAAACCTTCGCTAAGTCTGCTCGGTAATTATGTGGGTTTGCTGATTCACCTTATTTTGAGTAAGTGTAATCGTTTGAGCCATGTTTTGAACGCAATTTGAACGAAAATCCAAAGTGGATCTCTGGTTTTTATCTATCTCTAACTATACAGCTCTTGCTGTCCAACTTTGGATATAGGCATCCTCGTCTTTCTTACACATCTCTCAATTATAGGCAGTTTGTATCCACTTCGGACCTGCGTGTTTATAATTGCAAATTTGTGATCGCATACAGTAGTTATTATATAGTAGATGAGATTTCACGTCTTATTCAAGTTCAATCACTGATACTTACAGGAAGCCTCGAACATGCTGGAAAAGCTGAATAAAAATACCTTATCCAAACAAAACACCTATACTATGTCCATTCTCAAGATAAGATCATACTGATCGGCAGCGAATTATTGGTTAGAAATTGATTTCTAACCTATGACAAGCTGCGATGACGCGACACACCCACAGATCAGTGTGACCTCAAACTTATCTTGGGAATGAACGTAGTATATATATATATATATATATATATATATATATATATATATATATATATATATATATATATATATATATATATAAATATCGGTTGTAAAACGTCTTGCGACGTTGTCCGGTGACTAATTTCCATGACACTCTATCATCCCATTGGCCCTCTCTAAGATCTCTTGCGCTCATCGCCTTCGTTACTCCCTCTCTCCAAGATTTCTTGGGTCTTCCTCTCTTTCTGCGGTTTGGTGGTACCCATTGCATAATTATTTTTGGGAGTCTTGAGTTATCCATCCTCTGGACGTGTCCGTACCATATCAGCTGTTTTCTTTCTATGTCTGTTGTTAGAGAGCCGTCAACCCCATTCGCTGTCTTATCTCATCATTACGTATTCTCTCTCTGCGTGACACTCCTACTGATCTTCTAAAAGCGTCCATTTCTACTGCCTCCAGTTTTCTTCTGTTGTTTTCGGTTATTCGCCAAGTTTCTGCTCCGTACAATAGACTGCTTTTAATAAGAGATTCGAAGATATTGTGTTTTCTTCTTTTTCCTATTTCATGACTCCACAGTACGCTGTTTAGACAACCTATTGTTTTTCTGGATTGTGTTATTCTTCTCTTTATTTCTTCATCATCTTTCCCGTTGTGTCAAAAACGATTCCTAGGTATGTGTAATGGTCGCAGGGCATGATGATTTCGTTATTTTCTAATGTGATGTTCGATAGTTCGGTACTATTGCAGGTATTTGTTTTTTCTGTATTAATTTCTAGTCCCACTTTCTATATTCTTCTTGTCATTTCCTTGCCATGTACTCCAGATCATCTTTATCGTTTGCTATAACAACCTGGTCATCAGCAAACTGCAATGTATACAAGCAAATCTCTCCAAGGTCTACGCCCATGCCTCTGCATTTTCGTTTCCACTCTTTCAATGCTTTTGCAACATATATTTTAAACAAGTTCGGTGATACACAACACCCCTGACGTAGACCTTTATTAACCAGGAAGCTTTGCGATAGTCTGTTTCCATTTTTTATTTGTGATGTTGACCCTTCATACAAATTTCTTAAGGCTTTTATTAAGGTGACACTAATATTCGTCTGTCGTAACACGTTCCAGAGTTTGTTTACAGGAACTGTATCGTACGCCTTCTGCAAGTCAATAAACATGAGGTGGGTTTCTTGATTTGTGCTTAATTTTTTTTCTATTAGTTGTTTGAGGCAGAAGATATTATCAGTACAGCTTCTTCCTGTTCGAAAACCGGATTGTTCTTCTTCCTCTTGGTCTTTGTATTCCTTCTCAATGCGGTCTCTAATTATTCGTCCATACAAACGGCTGAATGTACTAGTGACTGATATCCCTCTATAGTTTTCACATTTAAGCTTATCTCCATTCTTATGGATCAACGAAATATAAGCAATTTTCCACTCGTCGGGTACGGGAGAACCATTTATAAATTGATTTATGCACCAAGTGACGGTTTCAAACAATTTTTGTGATCCACATTTTATTAGTTCGGCTGGGATATCCCCTGGTCCTGGAGACCTACCGTTTTTCAGTTCTTTTATAGCTTTTCTAATTTCTGTCACTTGTATTATTATATCTTCTCCTTCAATATTAACCTCTGTTGGTGATTGAGTTAAGTATTCGTCTCTATTTTCTGTCAGTAGTTCCCCATAGTACTTTTCCCATTTTTGTGTGGATATTAATTGAATGTTTGTGCTCTTCCTTTCGTTAGTTCTTATTTTACTGAGGAACTTCCATGTTTCTGTACATTTTCTGTCTCCCAGGTAGGTATTAATTTCCTGGCACTTCTTATCCCACATTTCTCTTTTTGCTTTTACTGTTTATTTATTTAGCGTATGGATAATTACAATACGATAAAAGTAGTATTTAGATAATAATTATGTTCAAATTGGAATTGTAACCTAAGTTAATATTAAATTTTAAATATTAATGTCCAAGTTGCACAGCCATTCAATTGCACCAGGAGAACACTCTGCAAAATCTTGAAGGTCTCCGCTGTATCTGCGGATTGGGCAATCCGCCATGATGTGTTGGATGGTCTGTCTCGGGGATCCACAATCACATTGTGGGCTTTCTGCATGACCCCATCGGTATAGAGAATCGGCACATTTGCCATGACCCGTGCGTATGCGATTTAATTTTGTCCATATAGGGCGTGGCAGGTTTGATCCAGTGAAGCCGATCGACGTACTTGTTATTTTGATGACGTCTGGCTCTGTTGTTGGCATCCATCTTTTCGTCCACTGCTCTTGCTTATTGTAGCTATCACCCATTCCCTGAACGGATTGGACAGGGGGTCGTCTGGACTTCAGTCTTTGTTGGTCTCGTGCGGCGTGCGGAATATACTGGTGAATTGGCAGACGATTATTTGCCATGATTTTCTGATATTCTCTGACAAGTGCTGCCGTTCGTCGAATATCTGGAGGTGCTATATTGCTCAGAATTGGAAGCCATCTTAGTGGAGTTGATTTAATAGTACCAGATATTACTCTCATAGTGTAATTTAGTTGAACATCAATCTTGTTGACATGAGCGCTATTTAGCCATACCGGTGCGCAGTATTCAGCGACAGAATACACCAGGGCCAGTGAGGAGGTTCGAAGTGTATCCGCAGTGGCACCCCATGTCGTTCCAGCAAGCTTTGTTATTATGTTGTTACGGGTTCTCACTTTGGCAGCCACATTCGTAAGATGGGTTTTGAACGTCAGTGATCTGTCGAGCGTTACACCCAGGTATTTAGGGTTGTTATTATGTTTCAAAGTCTCGCCATTGAAGGTGATGCTAAGGGTGTCATTCGAAAGCTGATTTGTGAGATGGAACAGGCTTGTCTCAGTTTTGTTTGTATTAGGGCGAAGTCGCCATTGTTTAAAGTAGTCGCAGAGAACCCTTAAGTCTTCGGTAAGCGCCCTTTCTCCAACATCTTTGGCTTGGTTTTGAAATGCGATAGCCAGGTCATCTGCGTAAGCAAATTTTTTGATTTTGTGTCTGGAAGATCGGCTGTGTAAATGTTAAATAATAGTGGAGCAAGCACTGAACCCTGTGGGAGGCCATTATTTAGCTTTCTGACATTGCTCTTTGTATCGTTTATATATACTTGAAACAGTCTGTTGGTTAGGAGGTTATTGATTAGTTGGCAGGTTTTCAGGCATGGTATGACCTTCATTAGCTTGTAGATCAGGCCTTCTCTCCACACAGTGTCATATGCAGCCGTCAGATCTATAAACGTTACGGCTGTTTTTTCCCGTTTTTCGAAACCGGCTTCAATAACCGTGCTTTTACTGTTGTTCTGTTAAACGAATTCATTTTTCACTAAATAACTGAAGTCGATGAATATTTAAAATAATAATTGTATTATTTCTTTCTTAACCTGATCCGTCTTCAAGGTTGTCATTGGTACATCTCCAGACAATCTGTGGTTTGACGAAAATACCTTCAAACCCAAATACACGTCTTTATGATCCTTTTAAATTTATTATTATCGGTTCTAGAACGATTAAAGTTACTTATTTATATTTGTATTTAATAATTAATTCGAATGCGCTGACAAACAACCTGCAGTCGGTAGACCGAATGGGGCAGACTAAAAAATAAATTAACACATTGTCTGGTGTTGTTGGAATGTCAACAATTGTGATGTCGTTTCTTGTAAACAATTTTTGATAGACAAAACAATGCGGGGTATGTGGAAACGAGACATTTTTAAGTAAATCTCTTATTTATCAATTTTTCGTGATGATGTGCCGATAAAAATTTATGTACTGAGTTTAAAGTTGTTGTCGTTGTTGTAGAAAGTCTCATTTAAGATTAGATAAATGATGTGTACTCAAGAGTTGAAACATTTACAGACAAACTGACACTATTTATAGATAACAATGAGACGATTTGTGTATTAAGTGATATTGATGGAAGCTGTAATCAAAATCTTGTAGAATTATATTGCGCAGTTTTATTACGAAGGAAGATTGGAAACTAAGTTGTAAATGCAGAAGTGTATGCTTTTAAATCACTATTCATCAAAATTGCAAAATAATGAAAATTGGAAAGCATATAATATAAAAGAAGTGGATTAATTACTGTAATTTGCACTTATTAGTTCCATTGACTTAACCCTTTTATGCTTCTTATTTTTCTTTTAAATTGGTTATTCTATGAACTTACTACGTCTATCGTAGATTCGGTCTATTACAATTAGTAGGCTAAGGTGGTTAGGACACCTTGAAAGAATGGATACTGGAGACTTAGAAAGACAGATATATCAAGAGCCAGTAGGAATCAGGCAGGCTAAGATCTACTCAGGGTTGTGTAGAACGCTTTTCCTGATTTTTTTTTGAGGCAGGCACTGGAAAAAACCAACGAATTCAATATAAATACCTATCATGTCTTTATAGATTTTAAATCATCCCATGATAGTGTACTTTCTTCTTC